TCATAATGTGAAATTTACAAAAAGTCTAAAATACTTGTATTTTGCTTTTGAATACATCTTATTTTAAGGCTACAAATGGCTCTCCATAAGTTCGACTTGGGATCTTTGTGAAACACTTTGTGCCCCCTTGCCCATATCTGGCTGGACCCGTACTACACCAATGCATAGTAATTGCAATAGGTATATAGGGCCACATGACCCCCTCCCATTGAGGGATTAAAAAGTGGGAGGGGACAAATAAGAGAAAAGTGAAAGAAAATGATAGTGGAATCGTTACAATTTGGTTTTCTCTCCCACACCCTCTCTCTCTCTTTTCCCTCTCATGCTCACTGTTTCTCTCTCTCTCTCTTCCTCTCCCTCCATTTCCTACGAACAAAACAGGAATTAGTGTAGATAAAATTGACAAAAAGTCAGAAAACACAAATTAAGCACGTAAACGTTCCCTCATTGTATTTATTGATAAATTTATTAAATAATTTACCCATACCATGTACATATTTACATTAATCAAATCCGAATAAAGTAAAGAACATTACATAACATAAATTTTTTTTTAAAATCTCTTGAAGAACCATTTTTCTTTTTAGATATGTTTTACTCGGTACTTCAACAGTAATATTAGTGATGTGTAGGCCTATCGACCTTCAGAATTGTACATATTAACTAATAACGAGTAGATTTTCAATTTTCGAATGTGAGAATTTTCTGCTGAAAGACTCCCCAAATAAAATCTACCGGGTAATCAGTTTTCACCAAATTACCATACCAATCAATTATCATCAGGAGGCATATTCAATAAATTTCTATAAAATTTGGCATAAATCTAAGAATTTGTTTGTAATAAGGATTTTAGTTTTAAAAAGCCATAAAAGGCTACACACATAAATCGACTTTTTCAGGACATGATTTTCCATTCAGTGCAAAATTTATCACTTTTTCATCTTCAAATTGGCCCTCAATTTTTTTAATTTTACTGCTACATTATTCTAATAAAATGGCACGTCTCTGTAAACAATATGCATGGTTATGAGCTGTGTTGCAAAGTTTTAAAAATTGCCAATTTGTTAGAGAAAAAAAAAAGTGACTTTGAAACTCTCAGCGTGTTGCTAATTTAGAGATTTTAAAGCTTATTTTCGTTTAAATCTAGTGTCAAACACAAGATGGTCCAAATGGACACAATGTGGGCAGAAATTGTTGCCTTTTCTTTTCCTACATCTTTTATGCTCTGATGCAAAAGTTACTGAGCCTGCTGGATCACAAAATGTGGAAAACTGGGGGTGTTTCACAAAGATCCTAAGTTGAACTTATCTGTAAGTTGGACTTAAAAATTATGGAAAGCCGTTAGCATCTATGAAAATATTTTGTAAAAGTTATTTTTTAAAGGCATAGCATGTTGATTCAAATCATTAATATTTCTTATTATCAAGGAGATTTCATGTTCTGGATGTGGAATTTATAAAAAGTCCAAAATACTTGATGTTTGCTTTTGAATATATTGAATTTTAAGGCTACAAATGGCTCTCCATAATTTTCAAGTCCAACTTGAGTTAAGTTAGACTTACGATCTTTGTGAAACACCCCCCCCCCCCCCTAGTGTTGAAAGGGTTCAGCACTTTCTCCAAGACAAAAATTACAAAAAGTGTAAGAATCTAACTCAAAGACTTAGGAAACAATTCTTTAAAAAAATTGTTGAATATTGAGAGTAGGAATTTTGGCTAAGATATAGGCCTAATTTCTCTTAGAGAATTGATTTATTTAATTTATTTTTATATAGCGCTTATTACAAGTGTCTCTAATGTAATGTTTTACCAATATCATGCGTTTGCAGTTGATAGAATATGGCCCTACTGCTACTTAATCAAAAACCAAATTGTGTGTTGATATACTGCAAATATCAGTATGTACATGTACATGTATAAGGTATGACTTTCATAGCTCATATTTCATGACTATACAAAAATTAAAAAAAAATCATACCAAACTATATATTACTTTCTTATGAAGAGAGATTAAAGACAGATCTCATATTACAAATACAAGAATACAGATCATGAATCATCCCATGTTTTTGTCGTTTGTTTGTTTGTTTGGTTTGGGGTTTATTTTTTATTTTTCTTTAAGCTTAACCATACACCAGATATTAAAAATGCATGTCATGAAAAAAGGTTTAACAGAATTATCTGACTGAATTGAAAATCACAATTACTGTACTCCATCGTGTTGATATAACCAGCTTTGGACAAGTAAATATTTTTTTCTTCCAATTAAGACAAAAAAGACAAGGAAAAAGAAAATTTCTGAGAAGCAAGTACACTGCCCAGCTAGCACCAATGTGGATATACACATGTGGGCTGCATTACTGTTTTATAAATCCCAAATGACATGACTTCTGAAGAATAAAAATTCACTCACAAATGTATTTCTCAGCTATCATTACACATTTTGTTGTCTTGTGTGCAACATTGGAGTAGACAACACACGCTCCAGCGACCATTGCCTTGTGGTCAATATCGTTCATCTATCAAATTCACAAGTTTAACCCTGCACCCATACACTTTACGAAACCCAACACTAAACCTAAACCATATTGAAACCTAGTTGAAACCCCAGTAGCAACAAGGGGGGGGGGGGGGGGGGGGGGGGGGTGGGGGGCCTAAGGACTTGAGCCCCCCTCCCCCAAACAAAAACAAAAATAATAATAATAATTGTTTTTATTGTAAATGAATTGAAGCGAGGCACACTTAGAAAATGAAATCAAGAACCCCCTATGCCCCCCCCCCTCCCCAATAAAAATTAAAAAAAAAAAAAATTCTGAATATATATATTATATAATAAAGCTTTGATTAAATAAATAAATCTGAGACCAACCATCAGTGGGGTCAGAAATTTGTTTTTCATGATCATACATTTAGTCTGAAATTCCTTGAATTCTGTGCAATATTTGTATTTTCATCATTATCAGAGTACCTTTTATAGCGATACTGCCCTAGCGTACTGTTTTATTGCACAGTGCCATCTTATGGTCAACCTGCAAAAAGGGCGTACCTCAATACCTAATTTCCGCTTCGCAGACAGAGGCCTTGATGCGAAAACCAACAGCGCAGCGAGTTACGGGACCATACTGCTACAGCTGACCTGAGATGGCACTAGAGGGGATTTAGCAGTAGTGCTTCTAGTGCTTCTAGTGCAGTATGGCTTCAACAAAACATGTTCATTATACTAATGAACTGTTCATGCAAATATTCATGTACATTCACAAAGTAATTTAGGACCGCTTTACAACAAAAGTATGGATTTCATTGTAAGCAATAAATATACCTCTTTTTAATTTATCAATTTCAGCTGTCTTAGACATGATTAATATCATTTTAAATAGTCAGTACTGGACAAGCAAACCAAATATACAAATACAATACAATAAGAACACACTGTCTGATCAGAGCCAGGAGAGCATTAAAGGTAATACAAAGTTTAGGGATATTTCGAAAATTGGCTGGAAAGTGATTCTTTACAATTTTGATATACTTGGATGCCCCTGTGGATGTATTAAGGGCACTAAAAATTCAGCCCCTAAAACAATTCTGCTTTTTAGAAAAATTGAATATACTGGTAACAATTTACCGGTCTCGGTAAATGTGGATAAATTTCAAATAGCGCCTACGGCGCCTATGGTAGCTGCGACCATGAAAATCACAGAATATGTAGTTCTGATATATAATTTCCAAACAGGAATAGCAAATCGGCCGATTTTAGTCAAGAAACATTGTTTTATAAAATAAATGATATCTTGACCTTGAGAGGGAGCTATACAATAAAAAGAGTTTATTATTGACAATTTCATAACTTTAGACTCTATTTCAACTGCGACAACGATCACTGAATATTCTAGGCTCACATATGCTTCCAATATGTTCATTTGAACCAAATTCATGACCCCATACCAAAACTTTGTATTACCTTTAAACTCTGTTTTACAAGATGACACAAAATATAGATTAAAGAAAAACACAATGCATGTAGTATATCTGATATCCATACACAGATTAACACATAAATGTATTTTGCAAATAACATATTTTAAAAAAGAAACCAAAAAATGAGCAAAATGAGGAGCAAGCATGATTTTTTTAATTTGTAAAATCTTTGTTCAAAATATTTCTAAACTGCACTGTTATCTACCAGTCTAAAAAGAAAATTAAATTAATATTTTGCCCGCAACACATGAAAAAGTGCTATGAACAAAAATATAAAACTCATTCTGATTTTCACACATGTTCATGCTAACTTTTAAATCTGGATAAGAAACTACTTTTCCATCTTTCTTGTTCTTATACTGAGTTGATTAGAGCTCTCCTAGACAATATAATACGAGCAATAAGCAGAAACATACACTGCCAAATTCAGCAGGACCCTATTTCCAATCACGTCCAGGTAATGTACATGTATGTCAACCTCATCTTCTCACATCTGGGAGGCGTTTCACAAAACTTGTCATCAGTGACACATGACAGTTTGTGTTATAAGCTACCGAAATCCTTGCTTCTGATTGGTTATCAGCAGGATTGTCACTGATTTTTGTCATTTGTCATTGAAAAAAGGCTGTGTGAGACGGATCCCTGGTTTCTCTCGTGAGCCCTGCATATCAACAATCTCCTTCCGGAAAAACAAAACGGCGCATGTGTTCATTCAGTCTAAGCTCCAAGCACCATTGAATTCATGCAATGTTCATGGCTTCAAATAAAATTCAAGCAAAAGTTTTGTTTTCCCCATGCACAACTTCGCAATCAAAGAAACCACCACCATGCATCCATTAAAAACACTCTTCTGTGAAGAAATCAAAAAGACTGATTGTTCTTTTCTAGTTTGTTTCACAGTGCGGTTCATGCAAGGGCAATCAGTAATTGGTGAAAAAAGCAAAATCAGTCAGGATATGCCAAAGAGCACGGAGAGTCTTGATGCTTGAGATGGTCCAGTCACACCGCCAAATTAAGCAATAAATATTTTTTTTTTAATCTGAGACATTCCAGGTATTGCATTTCCTCATCTTCGGTTTGTTATCTAACTGTTGCTGGTCTGGTCAGTGTAATTGCAGAATGAGCATTAATGCATGGATTGGAAGTGCAAAGTGAATTTGAGATGAATCATGCTGTTCATACTGTCCTACGAATCATCTTCTTTTTTTTCATCAGGGTTTGATCTCATTAACGCTTCCATCAGCGCAAATAAAGTTGGTGCTGGTGCGATGATCATCTCTTGATTTGGCATCTGCGGCTTGTGATATTCATAAAGAGGTGCCAGGTTCTTTTCATAAATTATGATTTTTTTAAAAGCAACCTGGTGCGCTAATATTTGTGGTCAATACTTTTACAATGGTGCTACACGTCTCATGAACTCCCGGTCATCAGTGCACAGCTCTCGGTCAAGGTTGGCTGGTTTGAGGTTGTTTGTTGGACATTCATAGTATGGACACCGACACCAGAATAACAATTCAGTGTTGGTCATCGGTGTTCTGTCCGTGTTACACTGATAGAAAGTACCTTCTTTCATGCTTCTTGATTGCAGAACATTGGAAGTATGAGAAAAATTACACCAGGCCTACACATTTCACCAGATAAAGTGTTGATAATCAGCGATCCACCAGGGTTAACCTGCGACATGGGTTGGTTATTTCAGGCTTGATTAAACACTAGCACCATATTAACATACATGATAGTTTTCTATAAAGCAGTTGGTGGCGTGCTTATATTAAAGCAAATTGAGACAATTAAACTTGATTATGGTGTTAAAATAAATGATAGCACCAGAAGGATGTTCAGTGAAATAGTCCCATGATAAGCACTTGCCTGAGACATTCAGTGTTCCAAGAAGATTAAATGATATAATTCAAACAGCAAGGCATCCCAAGGCATTAAATAAAAGCACCAAAGTCATGCTGATAGTATTTGGGTGGAACATCATGGTGTTGAAATGGATTCCAAACAAGATGTGGCATGTTTGCATGACATGATTAAGAAAGCATTGGTATAACACCAGATGAAAGAGTGTTGAGGTGTCTAGTGTATCCCATTCTGGGTGCTGGATCCAGAGATGATTTGGTATTTCAGAACCATTGGGGCAGCCTATGAGAGAAACAGGGAGAAAAAAAAATGGTAGTAAAGAATTAAGGCATAACTGTTCCCTTCTTACACATTCAGTAAAAGTTTGCCTATTTCTGCAACAAACTTTTGCCTGATGTTATTCTGTTTAATAGCTTTTTTCAAAACGCAATATCACTAGCCCCTTTTTTTAATTATTTTACATAGAAATATCACAAGTATTAGATATATCCTTATTAATGAACAAATATCTCTTGTGAGATGAATAATAGTCAATGAAGTACACACATCTGGAGCTGTACTATCATACATATTTACGATAATATCATTCACCGGAATCAGAGGGACATTAAAGGGATAGTTAAAGGTAATACAAAGTTTTGGTACAGGGTCATGAATTTGGTTCAAATGAACATATTGTAAGCGTATGCGATCCTACAATATATAGTGGTCGTTGTCGCGGTTGAAATTGAGACTAAAGTGATAAAATTGTAAATAATAAACTCTTTATGTTGTATAGCTCTCTCTCAAGGTCAAGATATTAATTTAGCTATAAAACAATGTTTCTTGACTAAAATCAACCGTTTGGAAATTATACATGGCAACTACATACGCTGAGATTGTCATGGTTACAGCTACTATTGTTTGGCCGTAGGCGCTATTTGAAATTCATTAACATTTACCAGGAGCACTGGTTATTTTTGATATTCAATTTTTCTCAAAAGCAGAAGTGTTTTAGGGGCTAAATTTTCTCGTGCTTATGATACATCCACAGGGACCCCAAATATATCAAAATTGTAAAGAATCACTATCCAGCCACTTTTCAAAATTTCCCGAAATTTGTATTACCTTTAAAGGTAATGCAAAGTTTTAGGAAATTGCTGTTTAACATTATCTTTTTAATGCATGAAGTCACTTCCTTCGTTTAATCATTATTGAACTATAATATACATCCCTCTACATTTTATAACCTTATTGTATTTGTTCTTTTATTTTACTGTAAATATGACACTACTAGTCTCCAGACTTTTGCCATGTTCTTTTAAAAAAACAATTAAACCGAAATTGAAATGAATTGAATTGAATTGGAATCTTTCAGAAATGAGAATAAAACTTGCCTTTCCTTTCCAGTGTGATACCCATATGTACTTCATAGGCTCTTCCTCATATAGTTCTTCATCTTCACAATACAGCAAAACCTGAATAGGATAAAAATGACATCACATTTAGCTAGAAACCTTTCTGGGCCACCATGTTTACTCTTTTTAGACTTAAAGTCTTAAAGGTAAAGACCAGTTATGGTCATGCGATTGCATTGTGAAAGAAACGTTGTGGAATCGATCAGAAACGGTTGATCATCTAGCATCTAGCATCTGCAAGGTTCTGGAATCATCAAAATGATAAGAAATTTGGCCCATTCTTCGTAAAGTTACAAGCAATATACACAGAAAGATGTATATGGGACTACCCTATATCTCTCACAGACCATGAGAGAAACAAATTTACCAAATATATAAATTAGTAGGCGGTTTCCCGGCAAATTTTTTATCATCATGTATTAGTCAAAACATATTCTTTCACATGATTGGTAATGAGAGCTTCCATTTCATTTTTTGAAATTGGGGCGTTTCCAATACTGGTCTTTACCTTTAAAGATTATAATAATAATAATAATAATATCTCACATTTATAATGCGCCTAATTTGTTTCTAGGCGCAGCACATATTATTACCCGGTGATTGGATTCAGGCTTACCCGCAAACACAATAAATGCACATTTTCCACTCCCTGGGGAGCTTTCCAGCCAGTCGCCAATTTACAAGCGCCACTTGCTAATCCAACAACATTAACTTTTGCATCCTACCGGGTACCCATTTAACAACTGGGTGGAGAGTGGCAAATGCAGATCAATGTCTTGCCAAAGGACACTAGTGCTGCGGTAGGATTTGAACCGCGGACCTTGTAATCCACAGTCCTGTGACACATCTACTCGACCACGACACCTCTACAATTCTAAACATATGTATTTTTTTGTTTGTTTAGATATTATGTTTATAATTGCAGATTCAAAGGGGATCTCCCTTAACTTGGAGTCCAACAAAGATTTAGAGTATAGAATAGCCAAGAATAAGGGTAGACTTGCTCTTCACTTTGGAAAGTGGTGAATAGACTTTAACTGATGTTCAGAAGATGTATTAACAATTGAAAGACATGTTCTTACAGCATTTTTATTGTGTTTGTTTACATATTCATTTTTCCATTGCCATCTGCATTTAATATCTTTGTTTATATCTTGTTCATTAAATGGCTGTAACATCCGATCAGTCAGTCATGATAACAAAAGGCCTGTCCTCATCAGCTCGAGATTGCCATAGCCCTGCTATTTTTGATTCGGGAAATAATCCCAAAGTTACAAATCGCGTCCTCATCAGCTCGACACTCGAAACTCAAGTTCGAGAAATTAGCTTGAGATATTTTGCTCAGCGTTCACGCATAGTGCGAGTCTTCGGGCTGGCGAAGACAACCTGAAAATAGCGGGATATTTTGCAAACTAGCCCAAGATATCTTTGGATGATTAGCCTAACCAAATATCCCGCTAATCGCAACTTCGGGCTGATGAAGACGCAAAGTAACTGGATAATTTGCGATCGGGATAGTTCAAATAGCAGGATATTTGGCAATCTCGAGCTGATGAAGACAGGCCTAATGATGCTGATAGGCCTAATGATGCTAATGTTGATGACAACAAAGATCAAGAATACCTCAGAATCTTTGGAGACATCAAGCTTCTTCAACAGTAGTTTCTGTAAATGATAGACACATGTCCTGACGGAACATCGGATGTACTTCTTATCTAGCTGTGTGATGCCGGCATCTTCCTCAGCTCGACTGGGTCCATTTCTAAAATAAGAGAAGAATAAATGGAAGGTTAATTAACATGGTTGTAGAAGTGAGGGGATTAATGTTGTAATAATGAATCCTGACTAAATGGGTACATTCTCTTTCTCTCTCTCTCTCTTCTCTATCTTTCTTTCCTTCCCCTTTTTTTTCCTTCATTTCTTATCTTTTCATACTTTATAAGTTGCTTGTCAGACAATTTAGAGTGAAAAGATACACACACAATACACGTCAATATCCCAAGTGAGAAAGTCTCTCCAAGGTGCCTGGCAACACCCTTCCTCACTCTTCATCTCCCCCATCCCCCCTCACCATTCTTGCCCCTAACTTGCCCTAGATAAAAGGCTTGTTTAGGCATTTAAATAACACCACATGAATCTGGATTCATAAAGCACTTAATATGAAATAACATCTACAAGTACATTACAGAAAAAGGGCAGTTTTTTTTTATTCATCATACAAATATTTCTTTATTTCTTTAATGTTTACTTCTCAATTTACATCAACTGTACTACTGAATGTGCTGAATTTCTTTCTTTTGCAAGAAATTCAGCTGATATACCTTTTCTTTGAAATCAAAATCTACTATTAAATATCAAATGCGCTGAGTTTCTATTATATCTGGTTAATTGCCAATTACTCCTTCCAACCATGATGTATCATTTTTTGTAAATGCCAAAAGTCTTTTAATCCATGGGCATCTTCTTACCGGAGATAAATACCAAGGGCTGTTTCATGTCAGGCTTAAAAAAAAAGATGTTGTAATGCTCTTTAGGTGCCAAAACATGGGTCAGAAATCTTTTTTCTTTTTAATTTTTTTTTCTTTTTTTTCCCTCCCTCTTTGGGCTTATATTTCTCAGTTTTGAATGCTTAATATTTTTAATCTACTCACCCAAGGTATTCAAGGCACAATGAGACTTGTTCATCGTTCTTGTAGAAGTGACCTCCTGTCGGGTCAAGCTTGCCACTGAAAGACTTCTGCTGGACTTTACTTTGGACTTTGTCTAAACCTCGTGATTTGTAAAACTCCATCTTTCTCTGCTCTTCCTCTGTAATAAAAGCATATTGTGATTTAAAGGTCACATACAGTTTTGGTGATCACACCCAGCCTGTTGCTTGAATTATTTTGTGGTGAACCTCATGTGCAGGCTCTGTTTAGAACCAGTAACCTGAACGACAAGCAAGTATGACGTTAGCACGTTAGTACTCTATAGGCAATCTATAGCCTCTGTTTTATAAATTTTTTTGTCAATAACAAGTTACAATAACTGTTATAAGCTACTGAAATCATGGCATTTGATTGGCAGAGAGCAAATTTGTCACAGAAATTTGGCATTTGTTATTGATAACATGTTTTACGAAACAGGTCCCTGTACTTGAAGACCACCCACTTTATTTAAAATGGCTGCTTTTCTCGTCTCCCCAGGGCAGTCTCTCCATACACATTTCTCGGTATTTGCGCTGGACATACTCACTCTCAAAAAGCTTTGGGACTAATTTCAGAACGACATCCTGCATGGTCCGATCCGGCCGGAGGTTCAGCACAGGTTGGGTTTCATGGACTTTCTGATTGCACATGGGACAGATCTTGGAGGTTTGAAGATACTTCACGATGCAGCTCTTACAAACTAAGGGAGAAGAGAAAAGGCAATGGACATTGACAGGACATCTTCAAAGGGTGACCCGTCCCTCGGATAGGACGTTAAATGGAGGCCCAGTGTAGAGAAGAGTCACTACCTTTCCAGTATAGTACGTCAATACTCTGTAAAGAGGGATGTACTCAAACGGACGAAGAAGAAGATTCAATATTTGTTCTGGTAATATTTGCTCCAGGCTTTATTTTGTCAAAGATACTGGGTTAGGGTTGGGATTGGGTTTTATGTTAGGTTCGGGGTCAAGGTTGACATTGAGTGAAGTGTTTGATGCATGGATGGAGTTTGGTTACAGAAGGAAAGCGACCGCGGAACATTTGTTTCAGAAACCATCAAAGATTTATGTCAGAGATTGTGTCTAGGATCGAGTGTAAACCCCATTTCATGAAGAAGCTCTTACAAAATAACAAATGATTTACAGTCCATCAGGTATAGAATTTATTATTCATATTTGGCTTGGGGGTGGAACACAGATTTGAGCCATGCCCGCCTAACGGTCAATAGTCTTTTAAAAAATGCCCGCCTACCGGTCAATAGTTTTTAAAGAGATGCCCGTTGCCCCAGGTAACAGGCAGCATAAATACATTTTGCTGAGATCCCCATTTGTTTACGTGTAAAAAAAGTTTCTCTGTGTGGATTTCATACAATGCTTTTTGTCTGCGAATTCCGAATGATCATAACATTCAGGCAACTTTCCAGCGAAGATTTACAGACAGTGCCTCAGTTTTTCTGTGATATTTTAACCAGTCTTTACTAAAGAAAAGGATAAGGTAAAAATTCTTTGTAGATATGTTTGTGAATTCGGTATATAAAAGATATATCGACTGCTTTAATATTCGATGCAAAGCTGTTTCTATACTGGCTCTCGGGGACGGTACCCTTGAGCCTATAGAAACAGCAATACCTCTCATAGCAGTCAATATATCTATAACAACAATTACTAGTGTTAGATGATCAAACCACTGGACTACAAAACCTCTGCTATGCTTTGAAATTGCCAATACTCACAGGTATGTAAACACTCTGTAACAGTCGTAGCATCAATATAGTAGCCAGCACACAGGATACACACGATGTGCTGATTCAGTTCTCGGATTTTCAATTTGATGTCCTGCATACACAGAAATTAAGCAGAGGGAAAATAATCAACAGTTTAATAGTAAATGTTTGTATACAGAGTCAATTCCTTTGAAAGCAAATTGATAAATGTACATAATAAAAATCAAAATCAATTTTGAAGTTGTGCTTTATTTTCTAATGAGTTTAATGGATCAAGTTCTGGTGTGCTTGAAAGAAAATGTTCAGCTTTGTTCATAGATTAATAAGCTTCTAAAATTGAAATGAATTGGGAGATTCGAGGATGATGGGTATATAGAAATATTTTGATCTCTTACATGTATATCGCTCACTTCTCCGTTCATCCTGATTTGTCTGCTGACCTCCGACCTTCTTTACCCCATTGGATGAAGACATATAGGTCACGTTGGTCTTAGTGCCATCATGAATCTGCAGTTCATTGGGGATAACAGGCAGAAAGAAGATAAACTTCCAACAATGATCACAATCAGCGTGTATCTACAGGACTTCAAATAGCGTTAAGCTTCAGACTTCTCACAGATCATTCCTCTTTTGAGAGATCTGCGTCGGCTAGCAGTTTGCCAAAAAATATAATTCAAGATTCTGTTGATTGTCCATTAATGTATATAAAGTGATATTGGATCAACCCTCTAGGTATATTGAAGAACTGTTACAACTCAATTACTCTAAGATACTCTATTATTGCAAACCCCATCAAATAAAACATTGAAATCCATTAAAATAACATTGGGAGACCGAGCATTTGCATGCACAAAACTCTGTCTGCATGTTATAAATTATAGATTATGATGCTAATGCTAAACGCTAACGGAATAATGTACCAGTCTCCAGATTTTCCAGGGATGTTATTTCCTTCCTGAAAAAACATAGCAGTTTCTTATAATTTGTTTTCATGAAAACATTGTATTCTTTCCTCTTCATCTTTTATTTCTCTTATCTAATAGGATCTAAGTAATATCCCTCTTCCTCTTTCCCTTCCATTTTCATTCATCTCCCTCTCTTTTCTCTTTCTTTCTTGGGGTTGGCTTCTTTTTTATTTCATTCTTTCCTTTTCTCTCCTCCCCCCCCCCCCCCCTATTTCTTTCCCCCTTTCCTTTCTTCCTCTTCCTTTCTCTCCTTCCCTTTCTCTCCTTCCCTTTTTTTGCCATCAGCAGTAGGGGCGCTGGTCCAAGAATAAGGATCGTCCGCAATAATGAGGATTGTCTGGATTTTCGCTGACGTTTTTGATTTCCAATCCGTGCGTTGGTAATGCGAAAAACGGATTCCACAATGATTTTCTTGAGCTTGATCATTGTGCATTTCACATCGACTTTGAAACTTTGTACATTTACTTCCACGGTACGAGTGATAAAAATCCTTGGGAAGACGGACAACTCATAAAAGCAGACGGTGAACTGGGGGTATCTTATTACGTGTAATCCGTTTTACGCATCGCCATGCCAGCCTCCGGATCGCGCGATCGCAAACGGGAACCCGAAACCCGTAGAGCGCCGAAGAAAAAAAACTTATCATCAATTAAAGCACGTGGGACTGTAAACAAAAAATTGCTTGACTAAATAGCTTAAAAATCACAGTTAACATGACGAAAATAATATATATTTAAACAATTATCAGTTAGAGATATAGATGAATTTAAATAGATAATTTTCAATATGAAGTAACTCACAAAAAACCATTGACTTGTCACCTTTAATTGTTAAAATTCATAGAGAAATCATGATTTACTTCGTGGCTCTAGCGTCAGAAACTTAGTAGTCTTGTACTTATCGTTCTAACTTAGTTTTTGTGTATGCAGGAAAAACCAAAAATTGATTTTCGTGTAGGTGGCCTACTCGATAAATCATTTAGTCCTATTCATGGAAATAAAATCTGAATATTACTAACACATCATGAAATAAATCTACTTGATTTTTTGTCAGGTTTTATTTTGTTTTTACACATTGATCTGAAGTAATGTGACCCAAAAAGCTGACCCTACCCCTTCCCCAAGGAAACGAAATACCGATCGGTACTCTTACCCCCCCCCCCCCCCCCGCTTATTCCGCGGCTGGTTGAGTCGTTGCGAAATTTTTGAGACCCAAAAAAAAAAATGTCCTCTTACCCCCCGGCCCCCCGCCCCCGCCCCCACAACCACAACGCAAAAGCGATGTGCCCGAATAAATAAATGTATTAAAATATTTTCTTTTTAACGATGACCCTTTTGTTGCTCAGTCATCCGTGACAAAATAAAATAAGACTAGCTAGGGTATCACTAGGGTATTCATGAAATGAATCTGGGCTAACTCTGATAGCAAAAACTGTCAATTTTTGTTATTTTACCCTAACCCTAACTCTAACCCAGGGGCGGATCCAGCCGGCTGCAGGGGAAGGGGCCAAAGAGGGGGCCCAATTTATGAGAAAATATTTAGCGGCGAAACAGCCAGCCGGTGAATAAACGGGGGGGGGGGGGGGGGGGGGAGGGGGAGGGGGGATTTTTTTTTTGCTTCCGAAATTTGAAAATATTTGCTCAGGGGGGGGGGGGGGGGGGGGGGGGGGGGGGTAGTGAGCAAAAATATGTATATATATATATATATATATATATATATTTTTTTTTTTTTTTTGGCTCTCGAAAATTAGAAAAAATCGCACCCCCCCCCCCCCCCCCCACCATCTCAAAAAAAAAGGAAAATAAACTTGTTTTTGCACGTTTTTTACGAGGGGAGGGGGACAGGGCCCCCGGGCCTGCCCCCTTGTTCCGCCACTGCCCTAACCCTTAGCCTTACCCTAACCCTAAACCTGCAAAAACTGACCGTTTTTGCAGCTGGGCCGACTCCTTTGAAATTTATTTCAAGGTCACGTTGATTATTTGGTTGAACTGTTTTACACGTTTGCAGGGATCTTTGACAAGAATAAAATCTAATGCATTCGAAAAAGACTAGGTAAAGTCAACCATATTTTGTAAACAAAACATCCCTTTTGCGCGTCAGATCAGCTGAGCTTGCAGTTCAACTTTCATTAGATCTGTAACCATCGGAACATTCGAACATCGTCTTCGCGATGCGACAAAAATCACCAAATTCCTGAAGTGTGAGAGGGAAAGAGCAGTCCACTTTCAAGTTTAAGATTGTTGAACTCGGTAAGATTCGCGCGTACTGATTCTGATTCTTCTTTATTTTATTGACTAGACCTCCACTAAGCCAAGATCTAAGTTGGGGTGGGGATTCTTGAATGAAACTGATATTTGTCATGAAGTCATGATCATGATCAATCAGCTGATCATGATGTCAAACTCAAAGGCCCGAATTCACAAAGCAATTTGAGCTCAGACAAAGGTTTGAGCTCAAACCTCCTTTTGTTTCGCCAAACCTCCTTTTGTTCTTTAAAAACCAAGTTTGTAAAAAACGTGTAAAACACGTCATATGACGTACGAAAACCATGGTTTGTCGACAAACCTTCTTTGTGAATTTGGGCCAAAGGAGCCAAAGTAGTCTCAGGACTAGTCATATTACTTACTTGGTATACTTGGGTGTAGAGACTGGAAGCTTCGCTTATTTGTCCCTTTTTACTGTTGCATCCCGTCTCAAGTATGGTTTAAACTTAATTGGATTGTTTCTCCAAGTCATGTCCTCGTCGATATCAGACTCAGAGACTGGTTTATTTTCAGCTTAGCTCAGAAGAGGTCATGTTGCATGTTGGGCCTGGGGTCTAGTCTTAGTGAGTAGTCTTGATCTTCATATCATAATTATAAATCCTGCAATGACCAGATGATACTATTACTGATTGCGTCCTAGTATTTTACTCATACTTGATACTACCCACACGTTGTGCACTGTATCCGGACTTAGTATTTGGTTGTTTGGTCCCCGGGGGGGCGGGGGGGGGGGGGGATACTCAGATTTGGTTTGGACAGGGGTCTGCCGCTAAAGCCTCGTAACCCCTACCCATTATTCAGGGTCTTTTGGGGTCATTTTTCTCCAAAAAAAACATTTTTCACACTTTTCAGGGTTTTTGGGGGGAGGGGATGTTTTGCAAATTTTTGAAATTTTGATAAATGGATCTATTTCTAATGGTATTTTTGTTATAAGTGGGACCCATGTTTAGGGATTTTTTGTAAAAAAGTGACCCATTAGAGCGGCACCCCCGTATATCTTAATATGTGAGTACCCCCCCCCCCCCCCCTCCCCCCGGGGGTTGGTCCTCCAAAATACAGTTTTAACTAGAGGTGCGGATGGGGTGGAGTAATTCGTAGATGGGGGGCACAGTTGATTTAAACCAGCAATATAAAGAAAATTACACACAATATTTGCTAATTCTTTAAGACTTGTTAGACAAAGTCATATAACTATATTAAAAAGGACAAGTATTTGTGATAATACTGCACATGATAAATAACCAGATTAGAAACCTTGTGGTTTTTGTAGGAGGGTTGAATACAACTGCCATCATATATTTTTAATTTGTTAAACAACTAAATATTCCAGAATAAAATTGGATGTTGCATTTTAATTAAGGAGAGAGACACATGAAGTTTCTTCTTCATTCGATATGTAATTATTCTTCTGTGTTTGAAAATACATTCCTAGGGATTCCCTGAATTCTACTGGCAAAGACCGCAGAGTTACAATGACAAATGGCTCGTATAACAACCAGCAAGAAATAAATTATTGTCCTTAAAAACGTAACATGTCAAGGAATTAAAATATCTCTCTTAGAGCAAGGAGATGTCAGTTAGAGGGAGGAGATCATTTCTCAGGAGGACAACCCATGTTATATATATATATATATATATATATATATTTCCCTCTCTCTCTCTCTCTCTCTCTCTCATTCTCTCTCTCTCTCTGAAAAATTGACAAAATGACAAGAAATTCATAGGGCAAGTCTGAAGCCTGCATAAAATTCTAGTGCTACATGTATTTGGGTAGCTCAGAAGCATGAGGGTACATTTTTGTCCACATTTATGTTAAAATCTATATCACAGGATCATTATTTGGTGTCGATCCATAAAGTTTAAGCATGTAGCCTAGCCAGACTCGCCAGACATGCATGAGCAATGTGTTTATTATTTTATCAAGCATGCAATATTATGTACACACTACCAGCATAATTCATGGCTTTAGAAGTGACTTTATTTAACCCTGGATCCGGTATTTTGTCATTGAATAAGAGCATGCATGCCTTCAGTCCATGCCATCTGTCCATCTGTTACTTGAAAAAAGGTTACCAGTAATTGGTATCGATGCCTTCGTAGCAGTGCATGCACAAGCAGTTCTAGAAGAATATATATTATATATGCGGTACATGTTTTTTTCATTTTTTTTGGGGGGGGGGGAGGCCTGGGGTTCTTGCATTCATTTTGTAAATACAGATGCCTCGAAAAAAAGAAGAAAAAAAATTATTTGCTTATTTATTTCTTATTTTTGGAGGAGGAGGAGGGTCTTAAAAATTGCCCCTAGCCCCCTCTAGAATTGCTACCTCGGTGCATGGATCAAACAAAAAGCAAAACAAAGCAACAACAACAAAAAATCAAAATCAATAGCTCTGAAATGCACATATAGTTGTACCGGTAATGTACATGTACTTACATACCGGGTACTCCTCACCAGTGATATCTGTTTGTTACTAGCTGGCCTTTTGAATGACATGATTTGAAGCGTATTATATACCTCACTTAAGAAATCCAGCCATCTGATTGGTCGAAATTGCAGTCATGGTTTTAGCCATTCCGGTAAATAAACGAAAAATGCCAAACCCCTGTAATAGTTCTAGAGTAAAATCCCGGCAAAATTCCAATTACCATGGTTACCGGGAAAATAGTTCAGTCTTGAGCGAGAGCGGATACCATACATTGTGTGTGGACGTGGATCAAAGTCCCCCAGCCCCCCACGCAGACGCAATAAAGCTAGCTGTGTAGAGGAATGATGAGAGGGGACTCGGATCACGATAATATGCCCTTATATTTCCAAACAAGGCAAAAATGGCAGAAAAAAACTCTATCTAGATTTCAACTTCTTGATGATGATCAATTGCAAGACATGATTAATTCCGCTGACAGCAAGAACACCAAAAGGGTACGTGAAATTCTCCATAAAAATATTGAGATTATTTAGTTCTAGATCTAGACTGCATATTTATGCGTGCAATCTAAATGGGAAGGATTTTAGTACACAAACTCGAGTGGTGCGCGATCAGACACCCTAGACTAAGGGTGCGTTTAAGCTCAATTTTTGAAGGCAGAATGAGCGATTTGAAACGCACATCGTAAACGCTCATCATAATCACAGTTCCAGGGTGTACTGTTTATGCTCACTTCTCTGGCTCCTCCAGGCAATTCTCCCTGGGTGGCCTTAATTGGCCTTGCAGCTGGATTCGCAAACCTGCACTGTGCATGCTACGTAGACCCACTACGTTGACCCCATTTAAACGCACCTTTTTGTGAGGTTACGATCGGTGATCGTGATCGCCGTTTTTCGGTGATTCTACAAAAGTGAGAAAGGACGCAACCGTGTTTTGAACTAAACGCGTAACAGATGCCTGATTCTGGCCAGAAAAAGTTGAGCATAAACATACCCTAGGTCTCGATAGCGTAGGCCTAAACAAACTTGATTACCATGATTGATAAGTCACACATGTATTCTATGACCCTTTTCGGTACATAAAAGTATTAATGACTGCTTTAATTTTCGAGACATAGTTGTTTTTATACGAGGTTACAATCAAGATACAATAGCTCGATTGTAACCTCCCCTTGAGCATATAAAAAGAACTATGTCTCTCAATCATCATGACAAGAAGTGA